AAAAAAAAAAAAGCTTTGGTTGATTATCTGCCCTGTTAAATGCATTTTTAAAAGTTAACAATCAACAGTTCCTCTAAGAGGTCTCTGCTGAACAAACTGACTGGCCCATCACCCACTGGGAAGGTTAGATGCCTAGCAGCAAAAACAGAAGTGTGGCCACCACAGCGCTGCACCACAGATGCTGCAGACAAGTCAGCTGGCAGTCAAGAGGCTCACGGCGTATATAAAGAGTCTGTGCCAGCCGCCAACAGCCAACAAGGGTCACTGCGATTTCATTGTGACAAATAAATAAAAAAAAGCAACAAGAAAAAAAAAAATGAAGCCAAGCACCTCTAGGGCCAGTCCCTGAAGAGATAGGAATCAAAGCTGTTGTTTTTTTTTTTTCTTTTCTTTTCTTACTATTTACAAAATACCATTTAGAGCTGATGTGGCCACTTCAGTATTGTGAGGAAACATCCTTTTTAGCCTAAGCAGTCATAAATGTGCAGTTCAAGGACTGTGGCACATTTGTGGCCGCAGAGCGTCCGGGGGGGGGGGGGGGGCGCAGGGCAGGGGGGTGTTTCTCCCCCAAGGCACATGGAGGGAATTCAGTCTTCTGTTTCTTCATAAGTAGTCTCATCAAATGGCCGGTCCAAGAGGGGCACCAATCGGTGACGGGAATATTTCAGTTGCAAGAGGTCACCAACTTCATTTATTTCCTTTAAAGCCTGAGAAGAGAGAGACCACGATATAAGCAAAAGAGATTTGTGACTCAAAACACAGCTAACAATACATCAATCTTCCTTTCCGACTCCCCAACACATCCCAAGGCAACAAGACTACAGTCAAAGTGATCCTTTAGCTTTTCTGAGCAAAACGTCCATGCTAAAAGTCCTAGCTGTTTAGTCATGTGACAGACGTTTGTGGCGGAGACATGGAGGCCTCCAAACATTCTCTCTGAAGAAATCAAGCCTCAGAGAAAGTGGTGTCATGGCAGTGCTTACAGGGGAACTGGATATCAAGGGACATTGCTACTGAGCTACAAAGCCTTTCACTTCTAGGTTACCAGTCCAAAGCCTGACTAGCTCAGCAGGGATCATATGTTTACTAGACGCTACATAAGAGGAGTATGGCAAGTCCCAGTTTCATGCTTTGCATTAGATGGGGGTGGGATGTCTTTAAGGCAGAAGTCATCTCAAGTGTTTGCATACTGCCAAGCCCCAATCTCAAATGGGTCCTGTACTGAGTAATCCTACAGCAGTGGTCTAGATCACTTTACACACCCTAAGTTTCTAAAACTTTGCAATGCTAGTTCTCAAATATTGGCAGGAGGTAAAGAAGAGGTCAGAAGGCAGACCAAAATCTTAATTTAATATTTGTCCCCAAAATCATGGCTTCTTAATCTTGTGATAAGAGTCCAACAAATTCTGAAGTTGTAGGGTTGGCATTATGAACTTGTTTCTGCATGAATCTTTAGACTGTTTTTTAAACAATGCACCCAACATTCTTCATATATTCCATTAACTCATTCTGTAAGATGAATTTTCAACTAGTAAAATGTTCTGGTCCAAATGACCTGCTCTTGAGAATGGTTCTAGCATAACAGTTAATATTCTTACATGCTTTTTCTCCCTGGATGAATAGTTCAAGTTTTCGTTCCTTTCAAAAATGGCCCCTTATGCTTGTTATACCTGGCAGCAAAAGTCTCTCCGCTCCAAAATCAGGGGGAAGCAAGAAGCCTAGAAGAAGCTGGACTTCACTGAAAGAGTGGGCATGTTTTACAGGGCTTTAAGTGAAGGCTCCATATGGAAACAATTTAAGGTTGAATTTCTGTGGAAAGAGTCCGTTAACTGTTATTCTTGAACTCAGATTTAGGATTTTATTAATTTAAAACAAAAAGAACCATGTGACTAGCAAAGACTACAAAGGAAATGGCATCGATGAACTCTGACTTCAGGAAAGTGTAATATATTTTTCATCACAGAAAAAAAAAGCACCAGCCCACAGGGATGCAGGTTATGAGGAACTTCACTCTGATCCCAAGCCAAATAGTTTTGGAGGCAAGGAAGTTTTATTTACATAAAACAGTTACAAATTGTAACACAGAGAACTGCTGCCCATCATGTGGGTTTATTTAATAAAAACAAGCATTGCAAATATCACCATTTATATGTAAAGCCTCCCTCCCCCACACTCCATCACTGGGTGAAATGTATTTAGGGAAGTGCCAGGATAATAGCACTAGCTGAGGCCAGGCATCTATGGGCAGGCTGTTCAATTCCTCTTTCTAGCCTTGGCTCTGACAACCTCTCTCTTACCCTACCAGAATTTGAATTTTTCCTGGACACTTTTCCAGTGCTTCAGAGGTGGTCAGATATGATGGCCAGACATAACCACTGTTGGCTATTGGAAACCAAATCCCCTTATTACCTCAGGAAAGCCACAACAGGGGTTTATCTACACAGGGAGTTATTCCTAATTATCTCCATGTGTTGATGCTCTTATATTCCAGAATCAATAGAAGTATCTGACATTCCAAAGCAGATTACACTCATTTTGAATGAGAGCTTGCACATATGAAGTTGATCAGGAATGGTTAATTAGGTTTAAATTCACACCCTACCTAGATTAATCTTCAGATATAGACAAGCCCTAAAACTAAATCACTTCATTTGGGAAAGGAAGTACTACTGAAGTGTAGTTCAGAGCACATCTGAACAAGATGGTGGTGACCAAGAAGGTACAGGAAAGGCCTGTTTAATACAGAACCTAGAAAAAGTAACAGTTTTCTTCTGTGAGCACAAGGGTACAGTACCACTTGACAAAATAAGTAACCAGTTTTTCACCCCAGCATCCTTCCTAAGTCAGTGGTGCTCAACCTACAGGCTGCAGGCTGGACCCAGCCCCCACAGTCATTGGATCTGGCCCATGGCATGGGGGGGGAAGAGGGGGTGTGGAATCAGCAGCTCAGCCCAGTGTCCGCTTTACCGCCATACCACTGATTCCCTCCACAGTTCTCCCTGCCCTCTCCGTCCCCTTATAGCAGACTGTAACAGGATGGCGTCCTAGGGGCCACTGTGATCTCCCCTAAGGCACGCTTACCGTGCCAAGCTGCCTAAAGGGCACCCTCAATTCTCCCCTGCCACGTCTTTTATGGTAAATATATAATAGGGAGGCTGCCTTTCCATCCTCTTGGACACGGCTTCTTGCTGTACAGTGGCCCCGGCTCCTAAATCCCTTGTGGGCCCCGTTCTGTATTTGGTGTTTTGGGCACCCTAGCCTTCTGGGCTATGCGTGACTCCAATCACCCCTTTACCACTCCCCAAGCCTCATTGATAGAACTGACATTCCATCAACTCTCGGGGATGTAGGGGGATGGTTAGGAAGGCCAAGGCAGAGATGGAACAGGGGCTGGCTTCCCAGATTAAGGACAACAAGAAGTCCTTTTTTAAATACATAGGGAATAGAAAGAATGCCCTAGGAAATGTGGGGCCCTTGCAGGACAAGATGGGGAATCTGGTTGTCACGCCAGATGACAAAGCCAACATATTTAATAACTTCTTTG